TTCTCACGATCTTGGCACGTTTGTCCCGGTGGACACGTATTCGGAATCGAAAGTCCGCCACCACCAGCTTATGCTGGGGGACAACACACTCCCCAGGTATCACCTTTCAATCTACACAAGCGCGTCTATCCTCACTCCTTGCAAGGATAAAGTCGATCTGACTTGAGTGTCGTCCACTATGGAAGGTCACTAGGTGAGGTTCCCTCTTCCTAAAGAGGGTGTTCGCTATCAACAAGTCGTAGGCCATCACAAAGTCCAACACACCCTCCCCCTCTTCATTCCTACTACCATACCCAAACCCTCCATGCACTCTTTCGACACCTACCTAGTCGCGCCCACATGGCCGTTTATGTCTCCTCCTACGAAGAGCTTCTCGCTGGCAGGCACCGTACTGACCAGGGCGTCCAGATCCTCCCAGAATTGCCTCTTGGCGCTCTCACTAAGACCTACCTGAGGGGCATAGGCACTGATCACATTCATGGTCACATCCCCAACTACCATTCGGACTAGGATAATCCGGTCGCCTTGCCTCATAACATCTACAACTCCATCCTTAAGGCTCCTATCGATCAGGATACCTACACCATTCCTACTCGATGAAGCCCCAGTGAACCAAAGGTCGAAGCCAGTATCCTCCACCACCTTCGCCTTCTGCCCCTTCCATTTAATCCAATTTAATTCTTCTACTTTTCACCAATACGATTAAATAATGATAAATAACATCATATGTCATCTTAATAAATTATATTAACATAATTCACTATTTATCAACTCACATATTTTAACTATTTATTATTTTCAATTACATCTCTCACATTTTTATGTCACATTACCTTCACTAATTACACTTCAAATATTATTCATACTTTTTATGTCATATTACCTAAACTAATTACACTTGAAATATTATTGAAGTATAAATTTAGAATCCCACTCAATTTTTTACTCACTCAAACCTTTTTTCAAAATTAACTCGATTCAATAAATTCAATAAAAACTTTTTTTTTTTTCAATTCCCACATTTTTAACTTTTTACAAAATTAAGCACCATGTTACGTTCTTAACATGGAGTAGTGTTATGGGAGACTAGAATAAATAATCACATTAGGTCTCGTTTGTGTTCCTGGATATGGTTGGAGAGTAGGATAAATAATCACACTAGGGCTCGTTTGTGTTTAGATTATATTTCAACCTTAGAGCTGTTGTTATGCATGTTAACGGACAAATATATTTTTCAATAGATATGCCTATTTTGATACGTAATGTCATACTTCAAAAATAATATAAATCAAATTTCTTAATTTAAGCATGTATTTTTATTCAAAAAATATAATGATTTATCAGCCTTACAAGCTGACTCATTCATGAATTTGTGATATTTTAGGTTCGAGATCGAAAGGTCGACCTCTATTCGTTACCGTTGATAGGCCCCAACATAGTTCTTGGAGTACAATGCTTAGAAGAACTTCGAGGAAGTAAAAACAAATTATAAAGAGGGAATTTAGAGCTAGTGGACGAAAGGGCCATACACAAGCGACATATCCCGATCCTTGAGGACAAGGAAGTGCTTAAAGGGGCGGGAATAATGAGAATGTGGGTTTTGCACTCACGAACACTCACGACCGGACGCAAGGAACTCGCACGAGAAAGGCCTCACGACGACCAAGTCGACTGCAAAAGAACCGTAAAAAACACCCAAGACTGTGCACGGGGTCGACCAGGCAAGCAACATGTGACCCGACAACGTGACCATG